GTATTGCTGAGGTGAGCCCATTGAACCGTACTACTGAGGCCAACCCATTAAATTGTACTACTGAGGAATGAAACCATATTTTGGTGTTTGGCTTCTCGGAATTCTAGGATTGTAAGTATATTATGAAAATAATAGGATTGATTCAAATTTAACTTTTAGTTGTAATTGTAGTTGTTTTTGTAATACTAATTCTTATAGCATTGTTTGGGAAGGAAGTGCATTCGGAGCATTGTTTCTGATATATGTAATTATTGTGTTCTTAATGTTTGTGGTATTTCTTAAAGCTAAGCAGTGTTATATGCGTAGCAAAGAATTTTAAAATAAAATTGTGTTGTATGAATTAAGTGTGTAATCATTGTGGAATCATGCAAGTAGCTAGCTACTCCCCCAGCCAGTGCATCAAAACGAATCAGTAAATTGTGTGGGATCTTCTCTATTCCATAACCCACTAGAGACAATACTGTCTCATCTACTCCTGCCCTTAGCTGCCAAACAGGCTCCATCCTCTCCTGTGGCGCTGCTGCATCGGCCTTCCCTGCCCCATGCTGCTGGGACTCTTGCTTTCTCCTCCTGCTGACCAAACACCTTGCAGGTGCGGGCAGGGCCATAAGTGGGTGCATACAGCCTCCAAAGGACACTGATCACGGTCCTGGCCTCCAACACAGGCTGCCCCATCCCCTGTCACACCCCAGCCTCCACCCCATAGCAACTCCAGGGCTCCCAGCCTGCACCCCACCTCCACACCAGCACTCCCAGCCTCCTACATGCAACCCCTGTCCCTGCACCCCAGCGTCCCTGCCTGTACGGGTGAAGGGCAGGCCCCTGACATGGGCCCAGATGGCCCATTCGGTGCCAAGCCTCAGTGGGATGGACCCACTGGCCTTTCCCGGCACCGGCCCAGCCAAGGCCTCTCCCTGCCCAAAGGGTGGGGGTCACTCTTACCTTGGTCCCAGGGCTCCTACAGGAAGGACCTGACTAGAATTGGCTTCTCACTTGGGCCCACAGGGGTCTGACCTCTGCATGCCCCACTTCCTGGGGCCACCTGGCTCCCCGGCCCAGAGCTTACCCCCACTCCTGGGAAGGCCCCAGGGCTACCAAGGGGCCAGGGGCAGTGTGACTGCCTCTGCTCCTGGGGCTCTGAAGGCCACCTCTGCCCCCACCCCAGGGCAGGCCAGGGCCTGGTCGCACTGCAGGCTCACAAGCAGAGTATGTCCATGGCTCCACTGCAGCCCAGACCCAGGCTGCCCCAGCGATGCCTCCTGGGCTGGGGCCAGGGGAGCCCTGCGCATGGCAGAGGACCCAGCAGGGCAGCTCATCTCTGGGCATAGGGCACCCAGAGCAGCAGGATGGAGCTGATGTACAGGGAACTTAGAACAGAGTTGCATGCCGGTGGCTGAGGGAAGCTGCCTGCGCAGTGCCACTGGGGTCAGGAGAGAGCCTGGTGCTGAGTACAGGCTGCGCAGGCCTGGCCTGGCAGCCTCCAGAGACCAGAATGAGGCAGAGACAGCGAGTGTTAGGGCAGGGGGAGCAGTAGCGGGACCAGCTGTGCCCAGGGGTTCTCTGCACGTGGCCCAGGCCAGAAGGTGCGCAGGGCACACGAAGAAAAGGGGAAAGAACGTGTGATGTCAGCGCGGGGAGAGCATGTGGAGACAGACAGAGCAAGACTTGTGGTAGCAAGGTGCTGAGTATGGGCAGCGTGGGGGTCTCCTACGTGTTTGCCCTGTGCTGAGAGCAGTGCTGTGCTGGGTGGGGGGTGGTGCCAGGGCCAGGTTCAGGCCCAAGCAGGGCGCTCCCTTGAGCAAGGGCAGCTGCACAGATGTTTGCTGAGGGAAACTGATGAGAAGTGGGTACCGCGGGCTGTACTGAGCTTTGGGTGTTTGGGTTTGGCATCTCATTGGCTTCAGACTTAGATGGCAAGTGAATGTGCTCTCTTGTTAAACTTCAGACCAAAAAGAAGGTGGTTTTCCCAGGGTGGAATTCGCTGTTCAGACTGCCCGGTCATGCTATACAGGGGACCTGGGGGCAGAGGAGGCCGAAGGCAAATGGAAACAAAAAGACTAGTGATCGCTATTTAAGAACAATTAAAACTATGCCTGTTTTGTATGGAAGCTGGCTGCAGTGTGACATGGCCCTGAGATCAAGAGCTGTGTGAACACGATTGTTCTTTTCCTTCCCGTTAGGAAGACTAGTGGACACGAAATGCTGAGGAGGGACTTGGCTTTGTTCTGAAGCATCTGTGGTGGAAAGCAGTGTTCCAGCAACGGGATTGTTGGAGCAACAAAGTGCGAGAAATGTGTTTACACTTTGGTACAATTGTAGCAGAAAGCCCCCTTTTCCTCTTGCCTGCATTTGCTCTCCCCTCTTTAAATATGTTTTTCCTCTTCTACCTTTTCTTCCTTCCTCTTTCTTTCACTTTAAGATAAGGAATTGTGTCTTAAAATTTGTATGTGTGCATTTTGTATCACCCTGTGTATTTTGGTATTTTTATCTGTGTGCGCCATGGCATTACTTCTGTAGCTTGTATTTTATACTCCTCACCTTTCAGCTTTCAACTAAATGTGTTTAGTTTCATAAGTAAGTTATACATTGTAACAATGTTAACAAGGGCAGGAATCAAACTGCCCTTCCCTGTATCAGGCTGGCCCCTGAAAGAGCGAGTGAATCAGTAATTGAATGTGTAACATGGTAGCAGGCAGCCATTAACACCTGGGAAGCTGCAGATCAACCAAGGGAAGAACTCATTAGAAGACAATGTAACAACCGGGAAATCTCTAAACGTCACTGATCAAGGGCTAGAAGCCCTGGCCTGAGTTATTCAATGCCGGGGACCAACTTTTGGGCTGAATATCTCCAGATCGACCACTCCCAGAGCCCTATTCAAAATTCATCAATGGGCTCCCAAACCTGCACGTACATGTGGACAACCCCGGGGGCTGACAGATGTCATCCAGTAGCCACCAAGGGGGGAAGTCCCATGAGGGTCAATGACCCCTGGATTGGGCAAACCTGAAAACTGGGGAGTCACCAAAGTCTGCCAAGGACAGATAAAAAGCAGTGAAAAGTGACCCTCAGTGGCACCCTCTTGATCTCCAACTCGACCAGCACCTGACCTGTCCAGCCAGAAGGACCAGCCGGCGACCCCCTTCTGGAGGATAACACCACGCTGAAAGAAGCCTTGACTGGCCATTGACGGCAGACTCCAGCGCTTGTAGGATAGGTATACCTGACTCTGTAGCTTGCTACTGTGTGTGTGTATGTGTGTGCATGGGGGGGGGACCAGCCCCAAGGTTTATGATTTAACTCATTACAGTGTTTCAATCCACCTAATAAACCAGAATTTTAAGGATCCTGAGTTGGACATTTGTAGCCAACACAATAATCGTCATCATCACAATAATACTAACAATACTACGAATAACAAAGTGGTGTTTCCCCAGGGTGAGGCTCACCCCTTGCACTTCAGGTGTGCTGACCCCTGTGATTTCCCCACACAGGAAACTCGACTGCACAATTTGTGGCAGTGTGGGACTGCATTCGTGCTCTCCCTGGCTTGCCTGCAGACAGGCTCTTGTGTGACTGCAGACATCTGGGAGGCAAAGGAAGAGGAAGGCTGTGTTAGGGTGGGTGTGCAGGTTGGCTGGAGCAACCTGTCCCGGGTGCCCTGGTGCTCTCTTACCGGCTGCGTGCTGCTGCAGCAGGGGCATCCTCCAGCAAGCAAGTGCAGGCAAGTCCTCTGGGTGCTGCAACTGGGGTGCCTGGTGACATGGGCCATGCAGGTGCGTGGTGTAGCGTGCTCCCAGCTCCAGCCCTCAAGGGTAGCCTGTGTCCTTCCTGCAGTGGCTGTGGCATGGCACTTTGTGACCCCTTTGGAAAGGAATACGTGGACCAATGGCTGGAAGTTGCAGCAAGGTAGGTTTACGTTGGAGATCCAGGAACATGTCTTCCCTGTCAGAGCAGGGGAGGACTTTCTACCAGCGGAGATGTCAAGGAGAGGCTGGATGGGCACTGGTCCAGGAGGGTCTAGGCCCAGCAATGCCTGTGCTCTGCTGTGGGGGTGTCCCGGGCTTCTGGGCTGTGCTGGTTGCCCCCACCCCCTTTCTGCTCCATGTGTCAGGTTTTGAAGCCTCTCCCAGAGGCGCTGGGGATGGGGCTGGGCCGTGCCAATGCTCCTGTTGGCTCCAACCCGGCAGAGTGCTGGCTGGAGGGTCTTGCCCCGGCGCTCAGGCTGAGTCCCAGCTGTACTGGGGCAGGGAGGGATTTCCCCCCTGCTCGGGGGGTGCCTTCTTCTGCAAGGTCTGACTTGTCTGGACTGGGCTATCCTTGGACTGGGGGCAGGGCTCGAACTGTGCAGGGAGGGAGGCTGCAAAACAATTGGCTGCCCTTCACGAAGCTCTAATAAAATCGGAGACCCCGCTCACATTTTCAAATCTTACAGGGGGGCTGTTGTCTCTAGGGGGGCTCAGCCCCCGCAGCTGCCCCGCCGTTCCAACCCTGACCCGCGCCCCGGCGACCCCCGCTGGCCCCGCGCGGG